GTGTTAGCGATGCTAATGTAAACATCGACCATATTACGTCCAAAACAGTCAGGCATTGTTTCTGATAGCAACGTTTCTGATAGGGCCGTGGGTCCACATTTCAGATATTACGTCATATCGGACGCAAATCTGGATCAGCTCCGTTGTTCCCCGTTTTTAGAGATTTGGGTACGGAGGAAAAGAGAGAGGGTTTTATTTCCTGATGCTGCGTGAGTTCCCCGACACACCGGGGACACACCGGGGACACAGCGGGGACACATGTTGAAATGAAAGACATCAACAAGTGCATTTTGCATGATAGAAGACCTTTAAGACAATTTGGTCTAACACTTTTTTCAATGATGATGTCAAAAGTATGACATCATTAATGCATGGCTTGGTACGACTCCTTAAATGGACAGAATCACTTAGAACAGCACGTTAGCTTAAACAATGTGAAGTTACCAGTAAAATTAAAACAGGAGGACTTTTTTTTTTTCAATTTCTTTTTTGTCGGTGTGAATTCAGATCCGGACAAGCTGGATGAGTGTGACTGCGTTGTTTCGTCTTCATCGACACACGTGTTTTGGCGGACCTCCACCGAACCTGTATAAGCAATTCAATTATGAATCGATTAGTAGAGTAACTGATATTGAATTCTATAAAAGTATGAATCAATAATGATACAAAGCTAATCAGGATCAGACTCTTGAGTTAAAGCTGAAGATCAGTGAATGCTACTGACATTTGGAAAACACATGTGTCTATCCTTTTTTCTAACCCAGCTTGGATTTGAGCAGCTACAGTCGCTTCATAGAGCATGTTTTTCAAGTAGATCAATGAAAAAAGCGTTATTTTCAAGGTATTTTTTTAGGCCGACCCGAGAGTAAGCTGCTGGTTCCCTCGACAAAAAAGCAACCGGATTTCTCCATAGGATTTTGGAATATTGTAAAAAATAAGATCTGTGGAAAACGAACCTGTTTGTTAAATGCACGTTTTGTTCAGCCGGATAATCTCCACATGTCTACCCTACTTTTATCATTTTCTAATTATAAATCTAATTTATAGATTTATGATTTGAAAGGGTATTAGGAAGTGAGGGAGAGGAACCGTGCAGAGAGGTGCTTAACTAACTGTGGTCCAATAAATACTAAATTGATCATATTTTTTGTGGCACATTTACCCAAACTAGAGTACATGATATTACTTGATGTTGTTAACATGGGGTTGTCGTTTTCGTTATACATCCGTGATGCAGTCGCGCAGAGCTACGTCGATGTGGAAGTAGGCGTGGTTAAATCTCAACTGGGTTGGAAAACCGAAAGACGCCTTCAGGACTGTGTGAAGAGAGTGGGAGGAACATTCTTACCCGTGTGGCTTTTCAGTTGGTCAGCAAGATCACGCCGATGTATCACTCGGAGAACATCATGTGTGACGCGTAAAGCCTTGTCAGGTCCGTAGTGGTTGGTCACTACTGTAGCGATGTGACCGGTGTCTTTACCTTCCAGTTTGCAGAGGGGAATTGCTTCGCACTCAGGGTCTGTGTGATTGTTCAGATGAAATTTAAAATTGTTGAAATCGTCTGTCGAAAGCCTATCCAGGGTATCCTTGATCAACGGGGCTGGTTTCTGAAGAAAAAAACAGAATAGAAATGAAAAAATAAAGCACTAAAAGTTTAAGCTGGAAGAAGCAGACATTTCTCACACCGCTCAAACAACAACAACAACATTCTCATGAACTGGAAAACAAACCTGAAATGTTACTTCAGTTGTCTTTCTCTCCGTTGGCAGATTCTTGCCTGCTTGTTTGTTTTTGCCCATAAAGAACGATTTGAATCTGGATGGTGGCGTTGACTCTTGAATTCTCAGTCGCTTGAGCTCCTTCAGGATCTTGAGAGTGGGACCCCTCTTTAGCCCCAGATCCAGGAAATCCTGCTTCTCGAAGCAAACAAGACAATCTCCAGACACTTCTTCCTCTTGAAATCGTTCAGTCTTTTTGCCATCGCCCTTCACATGCCCCACTAACCACTGAGCCACTTCCTCCTTTGTCCAGTTTTCCACTTCAGCTGGGAACTGGGACTCATGTTGTGATCCTTCCTTAAGCTTCTCTAGATAACGGGAGATTTTGACAGCGGGGCCTTTTGGTATTTTTAATTCCAATATATCTGACTTCTTACTCTCATTGAGAGTTTCTCCAGTCATTTCCTCCTCCAGGAAAAGATTGGCACAACTCTGAGGAACTTTGACCACATTCATCAGCCAGTGGTGGACGACCTCTTTGGTCCACGTATTCAACTCAGGTGGTTCCTCAGTTGATGACTGGCTCATTTTGGATGAACTAAAAATAAAACAAAGAAACAAGTTAAATACTGCTGATTGATGTGCTGCTTTTTAGACTTTGGTTGTGTTCGAATTGTCAATTTAGCTTGGGAACGTTCCTAACTGAGGGAAATGACTCAGAAGTGGCAGCCTTAATGTCTGTTAGAATTCTCTAGATCAGTGGTTCTCAACTGGTGGGTCGCGACTAGGGCTGCATGATTTTGGGAATAAATCTAACTGAGATTTTTCTGACAAATATTGCGATTCTATTTGCGATATTTGTTTTTAAGCAACCCAACGGAAGTTTATTGTAAAATGCGGCCATAAATCCGGCTAGGAAGGTCGCATCAACCCTCTAGCACCCCCGCAGCCCGAGCTACGAGTGAAAGAACTAAACTTACATGAAACTTCCGTTGGGTTTCTTTAAAGTCAAGCTTCACTTTAAGATTCACCCTGTAATAGAAACATGTGATGGAGCATTACTAACCTGACTCAGATGGTTCACCAAACCATCTAGGAAAGCTTCATTGGAAGCCATTTGGAAAGGGCAGGCACTTAAAAAATATATATAATACTTGGCAGGTGATTGGATCAATCTGTCTAACACCTGCTATCATGGGCCACTTCTGATTGGTTAACAATGACTGGTACATGTGGAGCACAGCACTTCTGATTGGTGTGGATGACTGACACACAAGAAGAACAAACAACAA